GTCTCTCCCCATTCCAGGTGTAAGCTGATCTCTAGCGATTAGAAGCCAGGAGGGACCCCATGTGGTGCTGGTCATCCCACATCCAGGCCCTGTAGCAATAAACAAATAATACATCCTCACAATCAAGGGTCTCTCAGGCTGTGTCTAGACGACATCCCTCTGTTGAAAGAGGGATGGAAATTAAGCAGACTGAACATGCAAATGAAGCGGTGATTTAAATATCCTGCGCTTCATTTGCATAATCGCATCACCACGTTCTTTCGAAAAAGGGTATTTCGAAAGTGAAACCACCATCTAGATACGGTTCTTTTAGGGAGAAAAAAACCCTTTTTTGAAAGATCCCATACTCTTGGAGGTTTTTTTTTTTTTTTTTTTTCAAAAAAACCGCGTCTAGATGGCGGTTTTACTTTTGAAATACCCGTTTTTAAAAGAACGCGTGGTTGCCATTATGCAAATGAAGCACAGGAAATTCAAATCCTGGCTTCATTATTTTCACGTTCGATCTGCCTAATTTACATCCCTCTTTGGAAAGAGGGATGTCGTCCAGACATGCCCTAAGAGGGAGCAGAGAGCTATCCCCGTGGTGCACACAGACACACCCGGGGGGTCTCTGGCAATAGGGTGTGACCCGTGCTGTGTAGGATGGCACATGGCTCCGTAAATGCCCAGCATATCCTGTGGTTGTTCTTGACTCCGGCAGAGCCAGCCCAGCTAAACCTGGTGACCTGACCAGGGGTGTCCCAGAAGGTAGAATTTGGCCGACAGGGCAGAGGCGTAGGAAGGGAAGAACCAGCTCGGCTCTTAGATCCTGGGGGATTTGCAGGCTTGACTATTGGACAACCCTTTTTTTTTTTTTTTTTTGCTTGGGGACTGAATGAGTTTTGGGCGGGGTCCGTGAGCCTCGGTAAAGGCCACACCCCCTTTCACGCCTCTCCCCCCATAGAATTCAGCCGCCGCTGGTGCACCCTCAACGACAGCATCTTCAGTTACTACGAGAACGACCGCAGCCCCGCGCCGAACGGCGAACTCAAGATGGAGGAGATCGTGTGCCTGGTGAACAACCCCCCTGACACCCATGGGTAAGGGCCTGCCTGCCCCGCGTGGCCCCAAGGGACCCCAGCCGCAGCAGCGCGTGGTAGGGACTGGAAACGTAATGAGCCCTCTCTGGGCCCAGGAATGGGGAGCCAGGCCAGAGGGCCCCGAGGGGCCATACAGCCCTTCCTAGAGCTGCATGTGGAATAAGTGAGCAAGCCTGACCTGAATTTCCCCATTTGTAGAACGGGACTCAGGCTTTGCTCCCCATTCCCCCCTCCCCTGTTTGGTCAGAGTCAAGTCTGCAATGGCTCTCCACTCTCCTCCCGGTTTCTTCCTCTGCTGTCTGGAAGAAAATGGCGTCCCTGGGACATTCGAAGAACTTACTGGAGGTTTTGTGTCTTGCTGAATTACTTTCCCAACAGAAACAGAGATGCAGCCGTGTTAGTCTGGTCTAGCTGAAACCAAAGACAGGACTATGCAGCACTTTAAAGACTAACAAGATGGCTTATTAGCTCATCATCTTGTTAGTCTTTAAAGTGCTACATAGTCCTGTCTTTTGTTTCCCAACAGAGGTTGGGGGGAGGGGGGATAAACTCGCCTGTTACTTCCAGGTCCTGTGGTTTGGATATTTTCTAGACCAGCCTCCTCCTCCTGTGACTTCCCGCAGCAGCCTGGGACTCTCAGAGCTGCCTTTGCGGTGGCACTCAAGGGCGCTGGGCGTGGACCCCCAGCCGGGGCTAGTTTGGAGCAGAGGTGGGAGGCTAAATGCAATCCTCCGTGCTCGTGTCTCCCTCCTTCATTCTCGCTCTCTGCCTCGCGCAGCTTTGAGAGCACGTTCGAGGTCTGCATCGAATCGGAGAGACTCTACCTCTTCGGGCTGGATAACCCGGAGGCCGTTCGGAAGTGGGTCAAGTCCATAGCCAAGGTCAGGCTAACGCCGGCGCCGGGGAGTGGTGCTTGCTGGGGGTTGAACCCCGGTCCGGGTATGAACAGGGCATGGTCTCCAGGACAGGTCCCAAGGGGAGGCCGGGCCGGCAGGTCACGGGTATGGGGAGCGAGTCTCAGGATTGGGAAGCTGTCCTCGTTGCAGGGCCCCGAGTGGGACTGGCTGACGAGGCCCAAAGGCGGACGCACGCCTTGAGTGAGTTGGGTGTCACCTCTGCACTGGCCCCACGGAGTCCCCGGGGGTCCAGGCTGTGCCCAAGGCTGCAGCTCGAGGAAGGTGCCACTGAGGACAGGCACAGCGGGGCATGGGGAGAAGGAAGGGAGGCCCTGTTTACTGCTCCTTTCTCCTGGCTCTGTGACTCCTCCAGCGTAGCCGCCCCCCTCCCCCAGGCCTGGGGGACCAGATTCAGGGGCTGTGAGCGAGTCCCGGTCAGTGTAGCTCCCCACACGGCAGGAGAGATTCGCTCCCACTTGGTGGGGACATGGGGCCCCGAGGGGCCCAGCGAGGAGAATTCCCCAGCCCGGACAGCTCCCATGTAGGGCTGTGCCGGGGAGGCCTCTCCACACCACATCTCGCTACAGAGATGCCGGTGTCTGGCCCCGCAGGCAGCTTCCCCCTCCCACTGTCCTGCCTCCCGCAGGAGGTGCAGCTCCATGGGGGTCTCTGCCTCCGCAGCCTCCATTGCCGGGGGGCCGCAGAGACGCAGGGGGGGCTCACGGCTTCTCTTCTTCCTCCTTTGCCCACGGCCCAGTCCTTCATCCCTCCGCACGTGGAGGAGCTGCTGAGCCATGACTTCGAGCGCATCGGGCGGCTGCAGTACAAGGGCGGCCTGAACCTGGAGCGGGCCAAGGAAGGCTGGTTCGCCCTCGCCCAGGGCACCCTCTACGCCTTCTTCGAGGACAGTGACCAAGAGGAGGCGCTGCACCTGAAGAAGCTGCAGGAGCTCTGTACGCACCCCACCCCTGCCTCCTCCTGGGCCCCTCGCCTTGCTTCTCCATGGAGACGGGGCTGGCCCCGGGGCCTGACAGGTGTTGTCCCCACCCACTCCCGGGGCTGCCCCTCGCCACGTTAAACCCAGTCCAAGAGGCCACGGGTGTTTGTACCGAACGCTCAGTTTAGACAGCGCCTGTGACCCGAGAGCATCTCGGAGCACGCTCTAGGCCAGGATTGCCCCCCACCCCGTGCTGAAATGCAGCCAGTTCTGGGGTGTGTCCTGCTGGCAATGCTCCACAATGACATGCCGAAGAGGAACAGGGAGGGAGAGCCCTCCCGGTAGAAAGGAAAGGCAGGGAGGTGGGGGCCCAGGACGGAGAGGTTAATACCCACGTCCCCAGACTCGGGGCTTGCTTCAGTGCCGACTCCGGGAGGCCTGTGCTGCCTGCCGCCTCGTTGTTCAACGGCCCACCGGGAGCGAAGTCTCCTAGTGCTGCTCTTTCAGGGCCCCGCCCCTCGCAGGATGGCTGTGGGGCCGCCTGGTGTCCGTGGCTCTGTTGGCAGTGGGTGCTTTGGACGGCCGGGCTTTCCCCTGCAGAACCCCACTCCTCCCTCCCTCTGGCCGAAGGGTGGGCAGGCCAAGCGTCCCGGGCTGGTGAGACCTCACGGCACCTCTGCTTTTTATCCCACAGCCATCCAAGGAGACAGCCTGGTCCTGGTGGAGAGAAGAAGGTAAAGCGCCTGTCTGCAGTGTGAGCGGAACGGGGTAGAATCGAGGGAGGGAGCCTTCGGGGGTCGCCAGATCCTGCAGGTTCTTAAGAGCTGCGGGGTTTCACCAGAGAGCTGATAGGGAGAGAAAGTGCCTTGGGGGTGGGACGGGGACTTGCCTAGGTCCCTTGGTCAAACCAGGCTACACTAGCCAAGGTAGGAAGTGACTGTCCCTGCCACATGAGGCACGGAGCAGGCAAAATGATCCGGTGGGTTTCAGCCCACTTCTGGGGGCGCAGGCGCCACCTCGGCACGGCCACGTCTGTCCCCAACAACCTGCCCCCTCCTCATGCTGCCGGCAGAAGGCCCAAAGGCTGCAGCCCGGCCAGGTAGGTGGGCAGGCCCAGAGCGAGATGAGTCGGGGTGGGCAGGGCCGTTGCGGGGGGGAGCGTGCAGACACCAGCACCTTCCGCCAGCGTGGAGTTCAGTGCAGCAGGCGAGGGGTCTGAGGGCTGGGCTGCTGCAGCCGACGGTCTTCCCAGCCCCCTGACCCCACCGACACGGGGCCGTGTTTGTCTCCCAGGACGCTCTACATCCAAGGGGAGAGGAAGCTGGATTTCTCGGGCTGGGTGGCTGCCATCCAGAAGGCCGCGGGGAGCTCCGGCGACACGTTGTCCGAGCAGCAGCTCACGGAGTCGGACATCCCCGTCATCGTAGACAGATGCATCGATTACATCACACAGTGCGGTACGCACCCCCCCTTCCCCAGGGGTTCCCGGTCTGTTGGGTGTTTGGTGCTGGGCTGGCCACTCACTAGCACCCTAACCTGTCACTCCCTGAGTTCCCCCTTCCTCCGCGGCACGGCGCACGGGGCCCTGGCAGGGTTAAACTCCTGTCAGTGGTGGAGTCCTTGGAACTCTTCCAACTGGGGCTTGAGGACGTCAGTAGCTAGGCCAGAGGTTCGGGGTCTCTGGCAGGAGGGAGTGGGCGAGGTTCTGAGGTCTCACAGTCAGAAAGCGTCTCCGTAGCAACCCCTCCCTTGGCTGGCTGCCCCGTCTGCCACGTGCCTTCCCCTGTGACCAGTTCCCTTCCTCCAAAGAGGCCTGCCTCTAGCTCCCTCCTGCCCTGTGCTCATCCCCCTTCCTGGGCTCCTTCTAGCTCCGTCGAGATCAGCAGCGCCACGTCGCAGGGTTACTGACTCCGGGCTGACATGGGCCCCAGTTTGTGTGGGTCTGAGGCTTAAAGAGCTGATTAGTACAGGGGGTTGTTTTCTTCGCTGCCCAAGGGCCGGACCCAGAGCCCCTGGAGTGCAGGGGAAAGACACCCGAGGACTAGACTGGCTTTGGATCTGGCTCTCCGACTCTCACAGACATTGACAGTGACCACCAGCCAATGTTCCTTCTATATTTTCCATGCGTGGGCAGAATAAATTTTGTTCTATGCACGAAGGCATGGGCAGGTGTGCACCACCAATAGAAACACATGCTGTGGGAAACTGTGGCGCTCTGCTGATCAGTGGGGCGGCACAGGAGTCTCTTCTGCGCAGCCGCCCAAGCGCTCAACATGCAGGGAGCACTGGCCACCAGGCCCCTGCTGGGAGGGGCCTCCGGCACCGTGGCTCTTTGTCCTTCACCCGAGGCTGTTTGCTCGGCTGACTGTGGCCTCTCCCACTCCAGGGCTGACCTCGGAGGGGATCTACAGGGAGAGAGGCCAGAAACTCAAGACCACCGCGCGCAGGGTGCGGCTTAAAGAAGGGGAGCACCAGGTGGATGACGTCTCCAACACGCTGAAGAGGTTCTTCCGAGACCTCGGGGACGGGCTCTTCACCAAGGACCACTGCCAGGACTGGCTGAAGGCAGCAGGTCAGGGGCGCAGCTGTAATGTCTGCACCATCTGTGGCCAGCACCCAAACTGCAGCATCCAGGGGTGCCCTCTGGCCTTCCAGTCCGTACGCCTAGGAGCCTGTCACCGTTGCAGTGAGGCTGGTGCCCTGCAGGGAAAGGCTAATAGGGAGTCCAGGGCATTAAGGGTGCTTCTGCACAGCAGGGCTTAACTCGAAATTAGCGACGCAAATTGAGGCACGTCAGTTGCGTAGCTTATTTCGAAATTGGGAGTGTCTACACAGCACTTATTTCGAAACAGAGCACCTGTCCTCCGACTTCTCTTACTCCTCCTACAACTCGGGTTACAGGAGTCGGAGCAAGAAGTCCTCCAGCTCGACAGTATTTCCATATTATTTCGAAATGACGCTAGTTATTTCGAAACGATGTTGCTGTGTAGACGTACCCTACCCGGCCCTCCCAGAGGGGAGACAAGAGGCGTGGGGTTAGATCAGAGGATTGGAAGTCAGCTGCTGGTTCTAATCCTAGCTCTGCCACATGCCTGCGGGGTGACTGTGGGCAAGACACGCCCCGTGCCTCAGTTTCCCCTACTTGTGAAATGGGAGGTATACTTTGTTTTATCAAATTCACAGCCATAAAAGACACCTCATGAACTGTGAAATCTGGTCTCCTCCCATGAACTCTGGTCTTTATGTACTATACAGATTTCACAGGGGAGACCAGCGTGTCTCAAATTGGGGGTCCTGACCCAAAAGGGACTTGGGAAGGTAGCCAGGTTAGTGTGCGTGCGAGGGGGGGAAGGGGAGTGCTGCTCTTACTTCAGTGCTGCTTGCAGAGCTGAGTGGCTGGAGAGCGGTGGCTGCTGGCTGACGGCCCAGCTCTGCCCGGCAGAACGCTGCAGCCTCTGAGAGTGCTGGAGAATACACCTGCCCTTCCCTGGTGTGTTGCTTCTGGCGCTGTTGGCGGCTGCCTTTGTCTCTTGGTTCTGCTGCCGGGGGATTGGGCCCATGGCTGAGGTGAGGGGTCTGCTGGGAAACGGACGGACATGGTTAGGGAAGCAGAGGTGGCTCCGGTGAGAGTCCAGCTCAGGGTGTACTGTGACCAGGCCTTGGCAGGGAAGCCAAGCAGCCAATCCAGCCCGTAACCCCGTCTCCTACGCCCGCCCGTCCTGCCGCCCAGCGGCTCCGCTCAGCCTGGTGCTCCCCTTCTTTCTCCACCAGCGATCGAAGATGAGGAGGAGAAGATCGGCCAGTACCGCCAGCTGCTGGGCAGCCTCCCCATGGTGAACAGAGCCACGCTCAAAGCGCTGATCAACCACCTGTACCGGTAAGGGGCACATGGCATGGCTGAGCCCCGCTGCACACGCCTCATGCCAGTGCTCTCCAGAGGGTGCCAGAGCTGAGTGCCCTATCCTGCCAGTTGGGCATGCCAGGCCTGGGGCCCGCAGAGCCACTCCCCAGGGGCCTGGGCTAAGGAAAGAGGTGCCGTGTTTACTTGCCCATTTGTGATGCGGCGAGAGAAGTGTTGGTCTTTCTCTACCACTCCATGGTGGGGAAGGGGTTAAAGCACAGGCCAGGGATGCAGGAGACCTGGGCTCAGCCCCCTGCTCTGCCACCGATTCCCTATGGGACCCTGAGCAAGTTACTGAGCCACTTGGTGCCTCAGTTTCCCCATCCATAAAATAGGGATAATACTGACCTTCTGCGTGGAGGTGCGGGGAGACCCTTATATACAGGCGGTTCCAGATCCGCACACGCTTGTTAGGATGAAGGTCTAATTCCGGATCTGGGACCGGTTCTTCTGCCTCCCTTGCAGAGAGCCAAGGAGCCCTCAGTGGGCTGGCTAAGGGTCCCCCTGACATCTCACAGGAAACGCACCTCCTTGCCTTAGACAGGCTGGCGAGAGAGGAACTCCTTCCTAGCCGCTCCTCGGCAGTTCTGTTCCCGGGCGCCCGCCAGCCCTGCCTGGAAGCAGAGCAGAATTCCAAGCCCGCCCCCTGCAAGCAGCAGCTGGGCCCTTTGACCTGACAGCGTCCCTGCTGGGGGCTTGCCCCGGGACAGAGATGGAGCAAGGTGTGTGTGGGCAGAGGGTCCCCGCCACAAAGAGCCACTCCTGGACCCAGATCCCACCCGGGGATCAGGCACCTAGCTCCCACGCAGATCTGTAGCTTGGAAGGGCTGGGCCTAGACCCACGACCCACGGAGGGCCTTCGAATCCCTGATGTGCTGGTGAGATCTGAGGGCCGGCGGGGGCAGAGCACAAGGAGGCGGGTGGGGGCGTTACTCCTCTCTCGCTCTGCCCCAGGCAGTCGGAGGCGGCTGCGGGAGACCCCTTAATGCGCTGGCTTTCCGCAGGGTCCAGTACTTCTCCAACATGAACCAGATGAACACGCACAACCTGGCCATCGTCTTCGGGCCGACGCTCTGCGTGGTGGAGGATCTCATTAGCCACTACGTGGTGATATTTAATGTAGGTCGCCCTGCTCCCCAAAGCCTCTCCCTCGACAGGCCGGACGGTTTCCGAGCCTAGAGCCTTCCCCTTGTTCGCTAGGCTCATGAGCGACTGTGGCAAATCTGGCCTGCTTCGGCCAGTAGGGACAAGCTCTTCCGTGGAGCAGTGTGGTCTGATGGCTCGAATGCTAGCCAGCGAGTCAGACACCGTGCTCCAGAGATCTGGCTTCCTGAGTGCCTGTTGGGCCACAGAGCTGGGCATCGGGGTGACCCGGCACCAGCACAGCTCAGTGACGGGCAGGGGCCCTGGCATGGTTGAAGGAGGCTGTGTCCACGCCAAAGCTGGGGCCCACATAAAGTTGTCTACCTGGCCTTTCTGCTCCCGGGCTGCAGAGGGGTCAGTCACAGAATCATAGAACACTAGCACTGGAAGGGCCCTTGAGGGGTCATCAAGTCCAGTCCCCTGCCCTCACGGCAGGACCAAGCACCAACTAGATCATCCCTGGCAGATGTCTGTTCAACCTGCTCTTAAATATCTCCCGTGATGGAGATTCCACAACCTCCCTAGGCAACTTATTCCAGTGCTTAAGCACCCTGACAGTTAGGAACTTTTTCCTAATGTCCAACCTAAACCTCCCTTGCTGCAGTTTAAGCCCATTGCTTCTTGTTCTATCCTCAGAGGCCAAGGAGAACAATTTTTCTCCCTCCTCCTTGTAACACCCTTTTAGATACCTGAAAACTGCTCTCATGTCCCCGCTCAGTCTTCTCTTTTCCAAACTAAACAAACCCAATTCCTTCAGTCTTCCCTCACAGCTCATGTTTTCTAGACATTTAATAATTTTTGTTGCTCTTCTCTGGACCTTCTCCAATTTCTCCACATCTTTCTTGAAATGTGGTGCCCAGAACTGGACACAATACTCCAACTGAGGCCTAATCAGCTCAGAGTAGAGCAGAAGAATGACTCATCTTGTCTTGCTCACAACATTCCTGTTAATGCAGCCCAGAATCATGTTTGCTTTTTTTGCAACAGTGTCAGACTGCTGACTCGTATTTAACTTGTGGTCCCCTATAACCCCTAGATCCCTTTCTGCAGTTCTCCTTCCTAGACAGTCGCTTCCCATTCTGTAGGTGTGAAACTGATTGTTCCTTCCTAAGTGGAGCACTTTGCATTTGTCCTTACTTAACTTCATCCTATTTACCTCAGACCATTTCTCCAATTTGTCCAGATCATTTTGAATTATGACCCTATCCTCCAAAGCACTTGCAAGCCCTCCCAGCTTGGTATCATCTGCTAACTCAATAAACGTAGTCTATATGCCAATATCTAAATCATTGATGAAGATATTGAACAAAACCAGTCCCAAAACAGAAGTCTGCAGAACCCCACTTGTTATGCCTTTCCGGCAGGATTGTGAACCATTAATACCTACTCTCTGAGTATGGTTATCCACCCAGTTATGCACCCACCTTATAGTAGCCCCATCTAAGTTGTATTTCCCTAGTTTATTGATAAGAAGGTCATGCAAGACCGTATCAAATGCCTTACTAAAGTCTAGGTATACCTCGTCCACCGCTTCTACCTTATCCACAAGACTCATTATCCTTTTATAGAAAGCTATCAGATTAGTTTGACATGATTTGTTCTTTACAAATCCATGCTGGCTGTTACCTATCACCTTATTTTCTTCCAGATGTTTGCAGATGGATTCGTTAATTATATGCTCCATTATCTTCCCTGGCACATAAGTTAAGCTGACTGGTCTGTAGTTTCCTGGGTTGTTCTTATTTCCCTTTTTATAGATGGGCACTAGATTTACCCTTTTCCAGTCTTCTGGAATCTCCCATGACTTTTTCCAAGATGATAGCTAGCGGCTCAGATACCTCCTCTCTCAGCTCTTTGAGTATTCTAGGATGCATTTATTTCATCAGGCTCTGGTGACTGGAAGACATCTAGCTTTTCTAAGTAATTTTTAACTTGTTCTTTTTAAATTTTAATTTCTAAACCTACCTCATTCCCACTAGCATTCCCTAGGTTAGGCATCCAATCACCATCAATCTTCTTGGTGAAAATAAAAATTAAGAAGTCATTAAGCTCCTCTGCCATTTCCAAGTGTCCTGTTATTGTTTCTCCCTCTTCACTGAGCAATGGGCCTACCCTGTCCTTGGTCTTCCTCTTGCTTCTAATATATTTATAGATTATCTTCTTGTGACCCTTTATGTCTGTATCTAGACTGAGCTCGTTTTGTGCCTTCACCTTTCTGATCTTGCCCCTGCACACCTGTGTTGTTTGTTTATCTTCAGCCTTTGTCATTTGACCTAGTTTCCACTTTTTATACTACTCCTTTTTGATTTTTAGGTCATGTAAGATCTCTTGGTTAAGCCAAGGTGTTCTCTTGCCTTACTTTCTAGCTTTCATACACAGTGGAATAGTTTCCATGTGGCCCTTAGTAATGCCCCTTTGAAAAACCGCCAGCTCTCTTCAATTGTTTTTCCTCTTAGTCTTCTTAGTCAATCACTCTGGCTTTCTCTCCCCTCGGCAGGTGGACGAACAAGAGATGAGGAAGCAGCAGGACGAGATCACGGCCATCATCAAGATGCGGATCGCCGGCTCGTCCAGCGGTACCCAGGTAGCCGACCCAGCCGCCCGCTGGCAAAGCTGGGGACGGGGGAGGGAGGTGGGGCGGATCTCCCCTGCACATGCTCGCTGGGGTCTGAGACTTCTCTTTGGAGCCCCACTGAAAATCTGAGCCCTCAGGAACTCCGACAGAGCCACGCAACCACGGTTAGTCCCCTCCGCCAGCTTCCCTGGGAGGGTCACTCTCCCCTTTGGAGGTCTACATGGAGAGGCGGGTTCCAGTTCTGACACAGCTAGTTGTACGGCGCGGTGTGTGCTGGGGCTGCCCATTCACTCGCCTTCCCAAAAGCAAATCCCCCTCTGCTATCCAGAATCCTAGCGGTGATAGAAGGGGTTAGGTTCCAGCCAGCTCCCTCCACTTCCTGTTAACCCCGTGGAAGCTCAAACATAAAACATCGTCAGCTATTTCCCCCTCCCATTCAGCAGCCCCTGGGTCTGTCCCTGGATAGACCATGGCTGTGCCACCACAAAGCCAGCTGGAGACCCTCCATGCCCTTGCTGTGTCTTTTCTGGTCACTGCTGACCAGCAGGGGGTGCTCAGGCACACACTGTATTCTGGTGAGACTCTGGCAAAATCCATTGTGCAGAGTTGCCTGAGAGTAGGGCAGGAAACAGGGTCAGCTGCTTGCTAAGTGCGGCCCTGATTAAATCACATGACCCAACCATCACATGGCTTTCCTTTTGCCCATCTGGAGAGAGGTGTGTGTCACAGGTGGGGCTTGGGACCCTTCTCCCCTTAAAGGGCCAGTCACCCTGTGATGGAGGTGGGAGATATTCAGTGAATAGTGTAGGGCACAGAAGGGGGTCTCTATGCTCAGGTTAATTCTGGGCAGCCCAGGCCTGGAGTGGATTCACAGGAGCCTACTGGTCCCTATGGAACCAGGAGCCTACTGGTAAAATCCCCTTTCTTGTTCCTTCCAGCAAGCCGGGGACTTCATCTGCACAGTGTACCTGGAGGAGAAGAGGACGGAAGCGGAGCAGCATGTCAAGGTGAGGGGAGGGCCGGGGCAGTGGAGAGGGAAAGGCGCCCTCCAGGCGTGTGCGCTGGCAGCCGTGTCGTGTGCTCTGCGGGAGCTGTATGGATGGATACACCCGGTCGTGGCTCACGATGCTCCCTTCACTCTGATCCAAGGGGCTGGGGTTTGCAGTGCTGCTTGGCGTGGGGGAATCAGCGCGGTGCCGTTGCTCCAGACAGCGCGAAGTGGGGAAGCTGATTGGACTCTGACCCCCTTCTGAGCCCCCGCTCTGGCAGGGCTGGTAGAAACTCCCACCTCTGCCCCAGGGTGTGTGACGTAGCATGGGGATGTGGGGGAGTCTTCGCCAGCCGCCTTGCCAGGGGTGCTGGGCACGTGCCAGCACGGGGCAGTGTAGAGGGGGTGTTCTGACAGAAGCACAGCCCTGGCAAAGGTCAAACGCCCCCTGACTTCTGGCCAGAGAGGCTGGTCCCCACGGGATGCTCGGGCCTGCTCTGAGAGGTGGAGGGAGGTGGAGATACAAGCAAGGCTTCTTTCTTCCTCTCCTCAGATCCCAGCCACCATGACTGCAGAAGAGCTGACCTTCGAGATCTTGGACCGGCGGAAAATGGTTATGCGGGAGAAGGAGTACTGGAGCTGCTTTGAAGTGAACGAGCGGGAGGAGGCAGGTCAGTGCCCGGGTGGGAGAGAGGGTTACTCCCAATGGGAGCCTGCCGGCAAGCAGGCTAGAGCAGAGCACGGGCTAGCGGGTGCACCCTGGGGGATAGGTTAAATCCCGGGTGAGGCTTTCCCTCGGACAGCAGTGAGGACACCGGCTACATCACTGCAGTGCTGGTAGTCCTCCAGCACCTTCCCACAATTCCTTTCAGGTGCTCAGGGCAGACAAGTTCTTCCCTGGGAGGGAATCCTAGTGTGGCCCAGTGTCTACAGCGTGGAGAACCCGGGCAAGTGCCGCCTGGTGAAGAGGAGACAGAAATATGGGTGGGACTTTGCAGGGGGCGTCTCACCCCTGGGCAATGATCCTTTCCATTTTCCCCCTCTATGTGTGGAATATTTTTGTTGTTCTGTGCACTGAGGCATGTGCAGATGTGCACCACCCGGAGAAACACACGCTGCCGGCGTTGTGCTCATCCACTGGGCGGCATTTGAATCTCTCCTGGGTGGCCAGCCAAGGGCTCGGCTTACAGGGAACGCTGCCTCCGGGCAAAGCAAACCTAGCTGCCCATCCCCTGAGCGAGTTCTGAGGTGAAGGCACTGTGCCCTTTCATCCACTGATCTCCAGGCTCCTGACACAGGCAGGGGCGTGAACCCTGCTCCCCCTCTGATAGCAACCCCTGGAGCTGCCCTGGTTGTGTTTTCTCCTCCTCTCCCTTCCCCATCCCCTCGCCAAGCGTCAGCGCAGTGCCAGTCAGAGCAGGGCAGGAGAACTTGTTAAGAAGGCGATTGCTGAGTTCCCTGCTCAGAAGCGGTTTAGTAATTCATTGGGTGAGTTATTTCGCACTATGCTCGCTGTTTTCCTGTCGGCACTAGAAGAGTGTGGCATTTCATCGTATTTTCTGGTCCCGTGGCTGTATTTTTCCTGTGTCCGATTGGCGATGCTGCCAGATCACACAAGCTAAGCGGGATTTGGGCTGGCCAGTGTTTGTTTGGGAGACCAGATGCATTTCCTCTGAAGCTGTGTGGAAGTGGTTACCTACCCAGCACTGCGCAAGAGGGCGCTATGCTGATGAATCAGAAATCCCAGGGGCTGAGCTCTGCGTTTGCTAGAAGCCCCGGGCTCTCTTTTCAGGAGAAGATGCCCGAGGCCTGGGTGTCCAGTGTAAAAACTCGCATTTTGCTGCCCTAAATGCAGCCTCAGCTGGACAGGATATATCGCTCACTTCCTCTCCCAAGCAGGCAGTGTTCCGGCAGCCGCCCACATCGCACCCCAGAGCTGGCTGCATTCTGATGATGGGGAGGCTCTATACATGTAAAATTATAACCTTCCCCGGGGGGGCGTTGCGGACGCTCAGGGCCCCTGGGTGGCTTGGAAAGAGCCGAGCTTTGCTCACCCTCATGGGAGTGGCAAGTAAGCCGGCAGGGGGCGTTAATGCACCTGTCCCCGCTTCCCCGTGCAGAGCGGCCCTTGCACTACTCTGAAAAAGTCCTGCCCATCGTGCACTGCCTGGGGACGGACAGCTACCTGGTGGTGAAGAAGCAGCTGTCCATGGAGAACATGCTCATCTATCTCGGTAGGTAGTTGCCTCGGGGCGTCAGCGACGCAAAAGGGATCCAGGCCGCTCCGGGTTCCCCCACGTCCTAGTCTTCATCACTCAAAAGGGAGTGCGGCCCTGCCAACCCGGCTAGCGGTTCTGCCCAGTGACACGGGCCCTGCCGGGGGTACAGTGTGTTGGGCACGGCCTGCAAAATCCTCCCGTCCGGAGCCCTGGAATTGCATGTGTAGAATCCCGACAGTCGGGGGGGATGGCTCAGTCCCGACCCAGACTGAGCTGATCCTGTGAGCAGAGGTCACAAAGACAAGACACGGGGCGTTGTCTGCCCCCGGCACCCTCCCTCCTTCTCACCCTGCCACTCGGGCAGGAAGCCTGTGTAGTGTCTAGCCCTGCCTTGGGGAGTTTCTGCCCTGTCTCTGCCCTGCTGGGACAGTGGGGCTCTCTCCTGCCGTCCGGCCCTCTGGAAAGGGACCCTGCTGCGTCCATTGCTGGTCCCTCAAGGCGGGGAGGTGACACAAGGGACCAGGGTTCGAAACCCGAAAAGGGAGGCCTGCAGGGCCCCGGCACATGTCCGTGTGTCTGCACCTTTCCTTGAGGCCACTGCTTCCAGTGGGACCTGCAGTTTGTCCATTGTGGGGCTGGTCCTGGGACCCCGGGTCTCACCCCACTGCCCTATACCCTCCCCCTGCAGCCACAAGTTTAACCCCTCGCGATCCAGCTCTAACAGCTCCCTGCCCCGGCCCCCTTTGCTCTCCCCAGCCAGCAGAGTGGGCGACAGCAAGCACGGCATGATGAAGTTCCGGGAGGAGAGGAACCTGCTGGGGCTTGGGCTGAGCACGGGCTTCCACGATCGATACTTCATCCTGAACCAGAGCTGCCTGCGGCTCTACAAGGAAGTGCGGGTGAGCTCCCTGGGCCGCTGTACTCCCCTGGTTCTGGCTCACCAACCTTTCCCACGCCCCCTCGCCGCAGCGCCTCCTGCTGGCCGGAGCACGCTCCGCTTCCCATCCCTTCTGCCTCTGCTTCCCAGCAGCTGTAAGATCTCGCTGGGCAAGGTATTTCCAGCAGCGATAGGGACGTGCTAGTGCCTGTGTGCAAGGCCCTGGGGTGAGACCTCACCTGGCATCCTGTGTGCTGGTCTGGTCAGCAAGAGGAGTTCAGATGGGAACCGGAGCAGAGAAGAGCTACGAGGATGATCAGAGGAGTGGTGGGGCTGTCTTAGGAGAGGAGACGGGAAGGGCTTGTGCTAGCAGACTGAGCGGAGATCTGATTACTCTGTAAATATGGGGGGGATAAACACCATGGAAAGAGATGGACTTAGCATGTGTGTTCACCACTGCCCTCTGCTGGAAGGAGTCAGAACTGCAGTGCTATGTGTCATGGGCCCTCTACTGCTAACCACCAATGGGGAGTCTCCATTGGCTCACGTAAAAAGGGCCTGTGCTTTTGGGTTCATTATAATGCATTGGAGCCTTATTTATTTTTAATTCTCAAGTCCCATGTATAGCAGCGGAGATGAAATGAAAAGTCAGCATCTGTTTACACTGTGCAGTTTCTGTGAAGACAGCACCAAATGCTGCTATAGCTATGTTGTCAAACCGTGTTAACAGTCCAGTAAGGCCCAGGCCCTGCGACACATCCCACAGCATGGTCACAGGAACGCTTCGCGTTGGCAGACTGCTTTTCACGTCTCCATCTGTTATCTCTGAAATGGGAAACCGAGGCACTGAGCGATGGAGTGACTTGTCCAAAGCCACACCATGGGTCCGTGGAAGAATCAAGATTAGAACCCTGGCGTCGTGCCTCACTCCAATCACTGCTTACAACACTGTTGGGTCCTGCTCTTCCCGGCCCAGATCGCAAACTCTTTATGGCCATGTGCCCAAATCCCCTATCCCACTGCTCGGATTCTTGCAGCTTCCATGCCCGGCTCCATAGGAAATGAGACTCAAATCCATATTTGCTTTCCACACTTCCTGTTGCGTGGCACCATGGAATAGAATAGAGGGGGGCACTTCTCCCCAGGTCCTCTGTGTCTGGCTTAACCCCCATCCTTTATCAAACAGAGTTTGAAGCAGCGGCTCCCTACCCTGGAAAATGTGAGTAGAGAAATATCCTGTGTGGCAAATGAGCAGGATGCTCCGAGGGCTTTGATTTGCTCTCTTGCCTTACAAACTCGCCCTGGGTCACACCCAAATCCAGTTGCTCAACACGCATGTGTGTAAAAAAACAACAGATGGTCTGGTAGCACTTTATAGACTAACAAAACACGTAGATGGGATCATGAGCTTTCGTGGGCACAGCCCACTTCTTCAGATGACTCTGGTCATTTGAAGAAGTGGGTTGTGCTCACGAAAGCTCATGATCCCGTCTACGTGTTTTGTTAGTCTATAAAGTGCTACCAGACCATCTGTTGTTTTTTTAGTGTGAGTGTGTTTTCCTTATCTGAACAAAAAGCTGATTCACCCAATCACAAAAGGAAATAATAGGGGGAATATGGCAGCATTGGATAGTACTGATATAAAACGGTAGATCTCTGACGAGTGCCTTGGGCTATTCCTGTAGAATAGCACAGGGGGTTTTAGGGTGTGATCCCTGAAGCAACAGAGAAAAAAAATCTCAGCTTCTCCCCACTGTAGCCTACAGCCGTTCCAGCTGCCCCCATGAAGGCAGGCTTATATAATCATAAAATCATAGAACTGGTAGGGACCAATGGCCCTTCACCAAGTTTTCTGAAAATCCCCCGTATCTCTGTTACCACAGAATACCCCTGGGAGGCAGGGTAGAGTTGGTATGGGGGAAACTGAGGCTAAATGACTTGGCCAAGGTCCCACGTGGCGTTTGTGACAGATCACTGTATTGAATCCGGTCTCCCAAGTCCTAGGGCAGGGCCCTACTGCATCCTCCTTGCTTCCTGGCTGAGGTGGGACATGGAATATTTCAAGAGGAGACTTTGACCAGATTGTCACCCCCTCCCGGTGCACTAGGAGGCAGTACCACCAGCTCAGCTGCTGCCGTAGTGGGCAGGTTTTGGATGCTGAAATATTAAGGAGTCTGGCCCCTCAGCAATGCTTGAGCTGCTGGGCTGTAAACACTGTTGTAATCCACTCCCAATGCTCATCTGCGGAGTGACATTGTTCCCAAGATTAACGAGGGAGCTGCAGGAGGTCCATTATCCCTGGGAGGGGTGCCTCCGGCTGCCCTGTGGGGCCAGGGGAGCAGGCCTTCCCAGGCAGGAGGGTGAATGGGCGGCAGAGGGGATACGCTTTGCACAGCTGGCCAGTTTCACTCCCCCCCCTCCCACACACGTGTTAGCCTGAGCGCGCACACACACACACACACACACACACACACACACACGTTAGCCTGAGCAATTCCTCTCCCTCCATCAGCCGCTCGCGGGCAGGTGACCGAGCAATGCGGCTCCGCCCTGCGTGTGATCAGCATTGTCAATGCCAAACTGCCACCCAAGGGCGCGTCTGTAAGTGGCTCAGTGTGAGATCGATGGCTTAGTAATTACAGTTCACCTCGTCTGTGTGTGCAACGTGCCTGAGGCTTGTCCACATGAATATAGCCGGCCGTTCTTGAACCGGACCGAATCAGGAGCCCCCCGGGGCCTGGATCATGCCCCAGCATAACAAGGCCTGGTAAATAGGAACCGTGGGCTCACGCCGCCACATGCTGGATGGTTTGAGAGCCCCGAGAGCAGGTCCGGGAGTTTGGTTGGACCTTTAGAAGGAGGGGGCCAGGGACAAAGTTCAGACCCAAAGTCAGCCCTCCCCCGAGCACGGGGTGGGATAAAGCAGACCTGGGGTACATGGGCATGCCACACGTCTACACTCACTCCTGTGACTCCCCCGTGAGCCAATGGGAAAGTGGCGCGTTGGCATGTAACATGTTCGGACCGGCCCACCCCAGAAGGCGGCCCTTCCCTCCACTCGGGCACATGTGGAATTTCACGCCCAGCAGCCAGCCAGGATGTCTAGGTCTCCAGCCAGGCTTGGGGGCGGGTGTTAGTGGAACAAGGCTGCCCAGGAGGCGCAGACAATAACTCCATTAGCAGGGAGCCAAGGGCAGGCGAGGGGGGCTGGCTGGCCCAGGGAGATGAGTCCACGTATCGTGTCTGGACCTTGGGGCGTGGCTGGGGCCCTGCTCCGTCCGGCAGAGACGTGTCTCTCTCTCCCATCCCTGCCTCTCACCTGACGCCACGGGGGAAGACCCGCAGGGGGCTGCTCTCACCTGCGGCCTCCGTCCTCCTCTCCTTTAGCCTCTGGCATCCGGGATGGTTTCCTGGAAACAAGGTCCTTGTGGATTCTGGGTCCAGCTACCGCCTGGGCCGCGCCGAGGCCCTCGCCTGCTGTGCAGAGACGTGTCTCTCTCTCCCATCCCTGCCTCTCACCTGACGCCACGGGGGAAGACCCGCAGGGGGCTGCTCTCACCTGCGGCCTCCGTCCTCCTCTCCTTTAGCCTCTGGCATCCGGGATGGTTTCCTGGAAACAAGGTCCTTGTGGATTCTGGGTCCAGCTACCGCCTGGGCCGCGCCGAGGCCCTCGCCTGCTGTGGGACGCCAGGGTCTGGAGGGATGGCGTGACGTCCCACAGAAGAGCGTGGCCTCGGGCTGGGGGCAGGCGGCTGGGCGCATTGTGGTTACGTGCGCGTGGGCCCAGCCACAAACACAGGGCTGCGTCTCTGCGTCTCCGAGTCTGGAGCTGACACAGGGGTGGGCACAAGGGCCCCCACGGGCTGGATGTGACCTGCCAAACGGGTGGATCCGGCCTGCGGAGGCCCTGCCGCTCCCCTGCTCACAGGCCAGTTAAGGACTGGGGGCAGGGGAGCTGCGTGAAGCCTTCTCCGCTCTGCCACGGAGCCCGCAGTACTTCAAAGCGCCACGTGCTTCTTGCAGGGCTGGAGGAGGCTTCCCATGCTCCCCCGCCCCCAAGACCCTGATTGGCCTGGGGGAGGGGGAGCGTGCCAAGCCTCTTCCAGGGCATGGGTGCCTAGTGGGAAGGGGGGCAAAGTGGCTCCCCCACCCCCGAACAATCATGGTCTAGGGGTGGGGTAGACCCACCCCTTCCGGGGTGGCCCGGGGCCACTTCTAAAATGTATGAAGTGACCCACTGGGCAAAAATGATTGCCCACCCCTGAGCTAACAGGATCCAGCTGAGTCAGGAGAACAGCCCTGCATCATCTCTTGGTCGTTGGTGCTCAGTCACAGGCTGGTCTCTAGGAAGGCCTTATATTCATGTCTGTCCATCCCAGAAGAGTATCTCTGTGGGAGGGAGATGAAAACCCTTCCTCTTTGTGTGTGTTGCTTTGGCGTCCTGCTCCCCGAAGCTGTGCTCCCTGGAGTGACTGTCCCCTGCGATCAGACCTGGAAGGCCGGTTCGGATCCCGCACTCCTGCGCTGTGGTGGAGGGTTTGCTGCCAGCGCTGGGCGGTGTCTGACTCCCCCTTCTCCTCCTGTCTCCCCAGAGCCACAGGCCGGAGAAAGAGTGGCCAGTCAAGAATCTGAAAGTCTTCCTGGGAGTTAAGAAGAAACTCCGCCCTCCGTCCTGGTGAGCAGCGGCTCGGAGTTTGAGCAGTGGCGCTTCACATGGGACCTGGCCTCAGTCCGGCCTGGGAACAGGAAGCCAGGAGGCCATCACGGGAATGCAGAGAGCAAGGGCTAGTCGACAGGGACCTAGGGAGTGGGGAGCTCTGGATTCAACTCCTGGCTCTGCCAGCAAATAGCTGGGTGACCTCTGGTGACTCATTTGGCCACTCCGTGCCTCAGTTTCCCCATGTCTGAAACGGGCGGGGTGGGGCACGATACTGGCCAATGGGTGCACTTGGGAGGGATCAAGAGTCCCAGCATGCACTGCAACCCATGCGCCAGCGGTGTGGCATTGCATTACGCTGCCCTGCTGAGAGCAGCACCTGGGTTCTGGGGACACCTGGCAGTCGTGCCCGGGGGCCCTGGTCAGGATATAGGGTTCATTGCACTTACTCATGACTCCTATGGAGGTGATGGTCATCCTAGGCCAATAGCACTGCCCCGTTTTGCAGAAGGGGAAACTGAGGCACAAAGAAGGAAGGTGGCTTTGTCCACGGCCATGCAGTGGCAGACCCAGGAGGGCTGAACTCCCATACGCACTTGGCAGTCGTGCCCGGGGGCCCTGGTCAGGATATAGGGTTCATTGCACTTACTCATGACTCCTATGGAGGTGATGGTCATCCTAGGCCAATAGCACTGCCCCGTTTTGCAGAAGGGGAAACTGAGGCACAAAGAAGGAAGGTGGCTTTGTCCACGGCCATGCAGTGGCAGACCCAGGAGGGCTGAACTCCCATACGCACTTGACCCACAGCACTCTCAGCTAAAGCCAAGTTGTGGGGCTAGGCGCCATGCTGCCTCGGGGATAGCACTGTGGTTTCTCTGCTGGAAAGGCAGCGTTAGAGACTGCCCGTTGCACATGAACCAGGGGTGCGGAAAGCCCCGGGAGCCACCTTGCTGCTTGCTGCTGTTCCCTGGTGCTGGTGTCGCGCCTGCCTGCAGCAAAGGAACCACTGGGGCTTCTCCTGCTCTCGGGCTTCTTGCCACTAGATGGCAGAGCAGGCTAGCGCGCCGCAGTCCTCTCCCTCCCCAAGCTCCGGCTGTGCCCACAGCCTCCTGGAGACCCAGGGCTCCTCTCCCTCCCTCCCCCGGCATCCCCAGAGCCCCATCCCGCCAAGGGGGAGCCCTTCCAGGGGGGAGGAGCTGCTCCCTGCGGAGCTGGGCACATCACCCCAGCCCGAGCCGGCTTGCCCTGATTCCACGCCCGCCTCCCGGGCCCCTCGGAGTGGAGAGGGCTCAGCGCGGGGTAGCCAGGAGATGTCGTGAGCTCCTGAGTTGGGGACTCAGCCAGCAGTTCGGGGTCTGCTGCAGGCGTGGGTGGGAGAGGGTCTGGCCTGCAAGGCGTGGCTGGTCAGACTAGATGCTCGTGCTGGTCCCTTCAAAGGCCGGCGTGCCGGGCACTGGTGACCAGTTCCAGAGAGCGAGGTCACGCTCCCTCGTGCAGTCTGGCCGTGGCACTCGTGCCAACACACCAGCTCTTGTGCAAGGCAGCTGGGGGACCTCAGACCAACTCCTTAGTGACACACATGGGTCTCTGAGGAAAGGGCCGCCTGCTGTCGCATCACCACGGCTTGCGGCAGCGCTGACATTTTCCTGGCAGGCTCCCTTCCAAGTCCCCTTCCGCCCGGCCCCTGCTTAGTTCGGGAGGTGGAAAGGCTGCCGCTGCGGCCCCCGGGGTGTCTCTGGAGGTCTGCAGGTGCCTCCTGGACTTTTATTCCCTAGAACCTAGCACAAGGCAGAGAGGGGGATGCTCAAACAGACCGTGCTGGGGCTGGGAAGCGCAGAGCAGTAGCAGAGGGATGCCCGAGGCACAGCATTGCCATGTGTCCTTCTGGGGTGAGCTATCCCGTACACCACGCTGGGGGTGGGACACCCAGGTCAGGCAGTCCTGCTGCAGGTGGGTCTGAATTGACCACGTAAGAGGGGGCAGGGAGCGGGCTGGAGCCATGAGGGGCCGTGGCTGGCTAGCCCCATTCGGATTCCGGCATTGCTTGGCTCTTGGGTAGGGGGGGGCAGGGGGCGGGGGGGAGCCATGAGGGGCTGGGGCTGGCTAGCCCCATTCGGATTCCGGCATTGCTTGGCTCTTCCTTGGGGTGGTGGGGCTGGGTTGGGCCTGGTGCCATGCTCCTGTCCAGGATGCCCCAATATTCCCGTGGGAGGTCGGTGCCACGCAGAGGGTGGTAGAGCTGGCACCTCTGCCAGGGCTCCACTCACACCCGGAAGGTTGTGGTGTTGATTCAGGCATCGCTGTCACACTGGCGGGTTGGGACACCTGTGGCCGGGGCATCTTGTGGGTTGGACACTGGTGAAAGCTGGCAAGAATCACAGTTCCACGTCTTCGTGGCCTGCCCTGCGGTGGAACGCTGTGTTGTGTTGTTAAACATCCTGCACGCACATACACACACCAACGCTGTGTTGTGCTGTTAAACATCCTGCACGCACGCTCCCCCCTCCCTCCCAGAGGTGGCTGCATTTCATCCTCAGCCAAACTTGGGGATCCACTGGAATCAAATGCACCACAAAACTTGGGATGATTTTATTGTCCCGTGGCGCTTTGTGCCCTTTGTGGAGTTTTCCTCTCATTGCCAGAGGTTGCCGATAATCGACTCCAGGGCCACCTGGCCTCTCTGAAGGCAAAGGCCATGGAGGAAAGTGCCTAGCAGGGGTGACAAATCGCAACAGTTTGCTACGGTAACACACCGGGGCTTGTGGTCGCTGGGACGCCAGCTTGGCTGTATTGGGAAACTTACGAACCTGGAGGACGCGGCGCAGATGGGGAGAGGAAGCCTTGGAATTCATTGTTCTGCTCTCGTCTTCTCTCCCGTGCAGCTGGGGCTTCACCGTGTTCTATGAAAACGAGAAGCATGAAAAGCAGCAGTGGTGAGCGTGGGGGGCTTTGCTGGAGGAGGGCTGTTGGTTAAGCGCAGACCCCAACACGCGGGAGTCCAGGCAGGCAGGGATCAAGGCGGAGCCCCTGTCAGAAACAGAACCATGCGCAGGCCCCCAAGGCCTACAGGGACTTTCGTAGGCGCCTCAGAGAGGAGGAGGCGTTTCTGCATAGAAATGTACCAGGCCAGGGTCTGCCTGCACAGTGATCACTGGCACAAATTCAACACCAGCCTGGCTCCCCCCATGCCACTTAGAACCCCCACCTGTAGGGCCAGTCACTTGAGCTAAATGAGAATCGCTATTGACAGTGCGGGGTCTCTGACACACAGTCCAGCCATTCTGATTCCACCCAGGAAAGAGGAGTGGCCTCTGTCATGTCTCCCTCTCCTCAGCATGTCCAACAG